TCAGGGTATAGAGTTTAGGGGCTAGGGTTTTAAGTTAAGGGTCCCAAACTGACGTGTAAGGCCTCAAACCCCTCCTATAGATCCTAAACCCTAAGCCCTAAGCCCTAAACCCACCAGCCTCGGCGCCCCTTCCCAGGTTCCATAATCATCTGTCCGGTTTAGGGTTTAGGGTTTGGGGTTTAGGATAAGTAATTAGTCCTCTTCAGCCTCTGCAACTGAGGCTCCTAGACCCAACTTGGCGGTGCATACGCAGAACCTACCTTAGACCCTAGGGTGGGTTACCCTAAGCCCTACACCCGAAACCCTTAGTCCATTCTGGCTTTATAGCCGGGTTACAGCTATATCCCTACACCCTCAACCCTAGATCTACTTTGTAGTTAGAAGCCAGTTAAAGCAATTTTCCAAGACTTCGAGGGATGAATGAACAGTTAGAAGCAAGTTGTAACTGCCCATGGACCTCCAAGCAGGCCAATGGCAACATGACGACCGCATTTTTGACTTGTGCTGATTTCTGACATAGTTCTGTTTATCCAGGTTGGCTCAAAGCGGCATTGACTTGGATTCACAAAATATCTTGAGTTCTCTTGCGTTCAAATTGAAGCAGTATTTGAGGTTGTAGTAGGGGCAGCAGAAGAGAAGCATTCCAATGTGTTTGCACGCCAAGGCATCAGCAATCCGGCCACTTTGACGCAATGTCAGGGAAGCTCCAGTAGAAAGTGTACAAGAAGTAAACCTAGCTAGGGAACAGCCCAAGCTATAACCAGGCAATCTCCCATAGTCCGTTATGGTTACAAACCTAGTGTTTCTGAATATGCTTACTTAGTAGTAAACCTTGAGACGCTCGAAAGGCAAGTGTAGAAACCACAGCAAAAGACATGCTTTTCAATGAACACCCTAAACAAACCGCCAGTAAGGTTCCCTGCAAGGTAACCCGAGTCAGTCTTGCTTAACTTGAGGGGAGCCCAAAAAGGGGGGTAGTATTAGGGTTTAGGGTTTAGGGTTACTAAAGGGGCCTATGGTTTAGGTTTTAGGTGTAGGGTTTTAGGGTTTAGGGTTTAGGGTTTAGGGGTTTTAGGGTTTACATGTTCTGCAGCCAGTAATCCTGATGCTCTTCAACCGAAGTCTCACCACAAGCCTTCCAGACGACCGTCCATAGCCTGCAGAGATGGGTTACTAAAGGGGCCTATGAGCTATAGTCTAAACTCCTTAAACGGGGTTATATAGGGGAATACATAGGGGACTACTATAGTGGTTATTAGGGGGATACTAGGAGTTTAGACAATGGCTCTATGGTGCCAAAGCACTTCCCTGAAACTTCTAGGTTTGAGATTATTATAGTCCCCCTTAAGTAGATAGGATATGGGGTATGCCATTATGTGGGGATCTTAATATAATATACCCCAGCCATATTCTATCTACTTAAAGGGGGGCTATTGTTCTATACTTGTGGTACAGGGTATCTCAAAGACCTCAAACTGTTACCTAAACCCCAAGAGTATGTAAAATAATAGCCCTAACCCATAATAACAGCCATAAAGGCCATTATTTTACATACTTTGGGGGTCCAGGTATTGATAATCGGCCACCGTATTCATTCCCGGTCCAAGCCCATGAAGCCTCAAGCCCTGAAACTGGACTTCAGACGCCAGCCCCCTAAATCCTATAAACCCTATAGTTTAGGGTTTAGGGTTTAGGGTTTAGGGTATAAACGCTAAACCCTAAACCCGAGACCCTAAACCCCAAACCCTAAACCCCAACAGGGCCTACGCCTGTCCTTAAGCCCAATGCAGTGTGTCCTCAGCATCTTCGGTGCGTGCATAGGCTTGCTTAAAGGGTTGTATTATGTGAGTCTTCAGGGACAAGGGGAGCCCTATAGGGTTTAGGCTCATGTTTGGGGTCTGGCGCTGAACACAACCCATCTCTAAGATCTCTAGATGCAGGGGTTGTCCCCTGCAAAAAGCGATGATGGCCTTGATTGGTGCCCACCTCCACCCCCCGCAATTTATCCCGAAAGAGTTAACCCTCGGGCCAATTTGACCCAGCCCCATGGGTTCGGGCTGCAACAGGTCAACAAAAAAATGTTCGTGATACGGGGATGACGAAGCCCTCGAGCCCGAAGCCGTACAACCAGGTTAAGGGTTTAGGGTTCTTGCAGAACTGACCTTGGATTTCTTGGATCAGTTTAGAGTTCAGTGCTTGCTTGCAGGGCCGGCGGGACTCAACAGGTAGGTCAATCATCTCCGTAATCCGTATGATATCCTCAACTACCCCAAAAAAGTCTCCCTGACCCCCCCCAATTGGGTCCAAATGTCATAGAGGCACCCCCAAACCCCATTCTAATTAGTTCGGCCTTTACATAGCCCAAATGGTATAAAGGGCTCGAGTTCCCCCGTTGTCAGAATGAACCCTGACCAATCGCAGTTTTTGGAGTTTTGTATTTGGTGCCTAAACCACGGTATGAAATTTCAAAGATGGAAGTTTGTCGCGATGACCCGACCCGGGAAGTCAGCCAGTCTTTCCGGTGGACCCGTTTATGACCCATATATGAGAATTCCGGACATAGGGAGCTCTTGTATATACCTATCTACCCTATCTACCCTGGAAGACTCTGGCCTTTCCAAGCCCCCCCAAAAAACAAGCAACACCTCATGGCTTGAAACCCCTTATACGTGGAGTATGTATATGTACCTAGAGAGAGAGAGAGAGAGAGCGAGAGAGAGAGAGTCAGGATTCTGAAGGGCACCCCCTTTTTCATAGACCCACAGTCTGTGACCTGGGCCGCGACATTAAGTCCAAAGTCTTACCCATGAACTTTCAAGTTCGAAATCCTAGTCGCTAGCACACCTACACCATATTGAAGAAGCTCCAGGGGTTTTGGTGTAGGGAATAGTTTCCAACATTACGGTCGCCGAGTACCTCAAACAGACCTCAGCATGATACTGTCAAGCAAGGCCTTTGCATGATGTGCAACGGCGAGACCCCATAAAACCTAAACCTTAAACCCTAACCCTAACCTTACATCCTAAACCCCAGACCTTAAGATCTGCACCTGATACAACTCCCGAAACTTGCCGCCCAGGATGGAAGCTCTTCCATGGCTTCAAACCCAGGTGGGCGGTCGGTTTGGGGTTTACCCAGGGTTTAGGCTTTAGGGATTAGGGTGGGTTCGTATGAGCCCTAAACCTTAAACCCCAAGTGATGACACCCCCGAAAGGGGTAGTGGACGGTTTAGGGTCTGCCAGTGGGCTTCTATGTGGTTCGTTTTTTGGATGGTTATGATTCTGTGGGAAGGGTTTAATTCTATTACATGGAGAGTTGCAGATGCAGAAGACCCTTGTCGGCTTGATCTTTGGGGATCCTAAATATTAGGGGCCGTCTTATACTAGAGACCCAAAAGCTGCATATGAGGGTTCCATGTTCTTGACAAGATTTTGTCCCTAAACCCTAAACCCGTATAAGGTACCTCAAATAGACCTAAGGTGTTGTTGGGAATTCTTTAGGGTACATATACATATACATATATATATATATATGGATGTTTCCCTAAATAGACCCCCAAATACTATATTCCTTGGGTTTAGGCTTTAGGGTTTGGGGCATAAGAGGAACTTTGCAATCCCCCCATAAGCGTCGTATGATTGTCATAGGCGCCACAGGGTCCATCTGTTGCGGTCGAGATAATGAAAACCCACCATTGAAAGCTGCTGCGGTGTCTCCCTCACCTTACCGGTTGTTAGTAGTGCGCGCTATTAACATCCAGTAAGTCCAAGGATGTTTGCCTAAACCCTAAACCCTAACCCATGTTTCGGAATTGTTCAGTGCATGGTCTTATCTTTCCAGATCTCTTGGGGTCCAAGCACCCAATCTTTAGGTACTTGGGAACAGTTTTGGGGTATAGTCCCCCTTATGTATATAGGATATGGCTTTGGGAATATTATATTGAGATCCCCATGTACCCCATATTCTATCTACTTAAGGGGGGCTACAAGCACATGACTAATAAGTAGTTGGACCCTTAGGGAAATTTGCGCGGGCTCATAGTGTAGCATGTTACATACATGCTTCGGTTTGGATTTGTGTATCAACAAAGTAGGCGGCTGGCAGAACCTGCGCTCTTTGGGCTGCTTGAACTTCTACGCTTGAAGCGTAAGGGATTACAATAGTACCCCCTCCACAGGTACACCCCTAGATTTAGAAATTTATTAGGCCTTATTAAGCCCTATATAGTCCTTATTAGCTCCTTAAACCTGGGGGGGGTACCTTTGGGGGGTATTATTGTAATCCCTTACAGGGGCAGATTCTTCCGATGTAGCACTTTGGGCTGCTGAGGAACTGCATGTGAAGCCCCAACACGTTGAGATCAAGGGTGCACCAACTATGGATGACCCTTGCATAGTGCGCGCGATACAGGATTTGCAGGCATGTGATGGGAAAGGGCAGGCTCTCCGGGCGCTGGCTCAACTTGCACGGAAGAAGCGGCGACAAGAAGCTGAAAAGGCCAATGGGACACCGCTGGCATCTGCTCTCTGGTCATCCTTTGGTACGGTCAGTATTCTGATTGCCGAACTGGTGCAGATTTACCCGCAGCTACCATACCTTGCAACTGTGCCGGCAGCTACATACAAGCGTGCTTCCAGCTCGTTGCGTTTGATCTTCTACCTGGCTTGCGACCAGGCGGCACGCGCCGGGCTGCTTTCAGCTGGTATGCTCGAGCTTCTGTATCCGCTCCTGCATGCAGATGGCACAAACAGGCGCATTACTTCACTACGCAACAAAGCCCTTTATGCAGCTAGGGAGCTCCTGCAGGATGACAATCGGGAGGTCAATGATCGAGTTGTGCGCTCTGAGATTATTCCGCTTTGCCTGGGGGTGTTAGAGGCTAGAGCTTTTTCATCATCAATTTGGATGCTTCTAAGCTTTCTATTGAAGTTCTGCTCGGCAAAAATGTCATGAAGTCTACAGATCTATCCTTTTTTTGGCCGGGTTGTTGAAGACCCTAGGAAGGCGGCACCGAAAGTTGCAGAACCAGAGCAGCTATGCTTCTGCGGACACTGCTTCTTCGTTCGGAGGTCTTGATGTACGTGTGCGATTCGGCAGACCGATTCTACTCAGTGGCCAAGTCCTTGACCCGGGCAATGGAGTTCGTCGCGCGAAGCTCTTCAACAATACTGTTCTCACCACTGGTGGCATGCTATGGGTGCTTAATCCAAAATCAGCGCGCCAGGCGGGTGTTGTCCCAATGTTTGCCTGCGTCTTTGCAAGAAGATCCCATGATTGATCCAGTACTGCTTCGTCTTCCCCTGGTTCTTCGCAACGTTTTGGCTGAGGACCAAGAGACCCGACGTGTACTGGCCACATTCTTGCAGGATGTGAAGATGGAGCAAGGTCGAGACTGGCATGATATCTCTCCTCGGAAGCGGGAACCACCGACACGTTTGTGGCCTTTTTGATCGTGGAGGTCTCAGCAAGCCTCATGCAGTTTAACTTTGGAAGAGGGCCTTGGGGCATCATAAAGTCCTGCAAAAAAAAAAGCAAGAAAGGGCCGCCTCGCACATAAGTAGGATCCCAGTCATTGTGCAGCACTGGGCCATGGGACACTCAAAGTTCTCTGGGGTCACTTGCCGGCTCTGGATTAGAAGAATACGACAACAACAAATGACCATATCGACCCGTTTTCCAATAGTATTCCCTAGGGCTCCCCGTTACATGAATGACGGGTTCTGGGTTCTATCTGCCCTATAGTTACACAGCTCAACCCTAAACTCTAAACCCAGTAACCTACTATTCAGGTAACTGGGCAGTTTAGGGATGTATGCCAGCTCTGCAGAGCCTGAACCCCAAACCCTAACCCTAAACCCTATAACCCTATAACCCTAAACCCTAAACCCTAAAGAAGAAGCCGAAAGCTTTGGCATCCTGAGCAGGATCCCTTCCTCCAATGTGAGCTATAATTAGCCTAAACTCGTTAATGGGGGCTCAGGGTTTAGGGTTTAGGTTTTAGGGGCTTAGGGTTTAGGGGTTAGGGGTTTAGGGGCTTGGGGTTTAGCGGTTTAGGGTTTAGGGGTTTAGGGTTTAGCGTTTAGGGGTTTAAGGTGTAGGGTTTAGGGGTTTGGGGTTTAGGGCTTAGGGTTTAGGCTCAAAGGGCTTGGACACCAACCTTGGCTATATCCTGAAGATCCCAATTTGGGGTTTAGGGTTTGGGGTTGGACCATTATGTGAGCTATAGCCTAAACTTCGTAAAGGGGCATATACAGGGAATATTATAGGGCTTCTTAAGGCGGGTGCTAGGAGTTTAGACTATAGCCCATATCTTAAGTATACCGGTGCAGCGCAGAGCTTACTAAGGGCCTCCTATGTAGTTCTTTCTCGGTATAATCCCCAACCAAAAATTACTAACCTACAAACAGCTACATAGGACCTCTTTGGTAAGCCGCTGGCCGCACCATAATTGCATGACTGGTGCAGGCATTATTTGCTACGACTCCTCGGAGCACTGGGTTCTGGTTGGGCTCTCCATCGTTGGCCGCTTGGCTGAATTCAGATGGCAAGATTTCCAAAAGCATGTATTTTAGTCTCCACCCCAATGTCTGTCTCACTGTCATACATTTTGGTTGCCATGGGTGATGTTTAGCAGAAGAGGGTAGAGGGCGTGTTTGACGTCTGGGGACATGATAAGCGCTCCATTTTTACTGCTCAAGTTGAAATCCACCCTCAAAGGAGTGAGCTTCTACAGTGTTTCCTGAAGTACAATTCCTTGGGGCACCCTAGGCCCGAAACACTTGCACCCTAAACGGTGAACCCAAAACGATCGAAAGGCCGAGTAAAGTTCTGGCGCAGGACCGAACCCAAACCTTTGTCATGCAAGGCTCTGCACATCTGAGCCCTACACCTTGGGTTCGAGCGGATGCAACACTAAGAGGCACAAGACAAACAGCATCCAGCTCCTGAAGCCTAACATCTGGTTGTAGGTTTGTGAAGGTTCTTGGATTTGCCGAAAACCCAAAACCAAACCTTGCTGGGAGGGTCAAGGGGACCTGTATAGCAAGTGTACTAATTAGTGACGCCCTAAGGGTGCATAACGCCAGTGTTCCTACCTACCAAGTGCCCTTAACCAATCAAGTAAGGCCGCAAATGCCCAAACCCTGAACCCTACATTAACCCGAAACACTGAACCTTGTACAAACTCCAACCCTCATATATGCCCTAATACCTATGTAAGCCCTAAGCCCTATGTAAACCCACAACCCCGTACAAACCCTGACCTCTATGTAAACCCCAAACTCCCTGTGTAAACTCTAAGCCCCGAACCCTAACGTAAACCCCAAACTCCACCCTGGGGGGCCAAGTACCTAAATAGTACGGTTTTAGGTCCCAATACTACAATCTGAATGGCTTTGGGATCTAAAGCGCTATTATTTGGGCACTTCTACCCTTAGGGCTACACCCTAAACCCTGGACCTTTAGCCCCAAACCCTAAAACCCTGAACCTTACACTTCAAGGCATCATCTGCTATCCGATTACCATCCTCGGCTGGGCGACCTACACCACTGCGGGGCCCTCACTCGGTAGTGGCCTACTGGTCCCAGTCTAGGATCTAGAATTGGGATTTAGGGTTAAGTTTATAAGTTTACGGGTTAGGGTTTGGATTTAGGGTTGAGAGTTGGGTTTGAAGGTTTAGGTTTTAGGGTTTAGGTTTAGGGGATAAGGATAGGAGGGGCCTTAACTTTTTCAGAGTTCCTGTAGCAGCAAGAACTGGTTGCTCGGAATTTATGGGGTTAAGTCTGTAGGGTTTGTTGGTTTGAGGCTTAGTGTGTTTCTGGTTTGGGTGTACGGCTTAGTCTTTGGAATCTAGCGTTTGCGGTTCGGAGTTTTGGTTTTTACGGTTTGGATTTGTCGGGTCAAGAGCCAGTGGAGCTGCTTGGGCTCACACGAACCTTGCACTCAAAGCTGTTTTGGTTGTAGAGTCAAAGTTCAGGGATTTCAGTCACATTGGAACCCCAAACCCTAAACCCATGCTGGATATGAGTTAGGAGGACCCCCCACCCTGTAATAGTGGTATAATGAGAATATAAGAGGACCCTAACATAATCCCTATTATCCCTTATAGTCACTATTACTGGGTCGGGGGTCCACCTAAGATATGAGTGTAGCTCTCCTCCTTATCGCTCCTCTGGATGTGTTTGTCGAGTGTAAGACCATTCTCCCCCTTGGGTAAATAGACGTTTAGGGTTTAGGGTTTATGGGATCTGTCGAACAGATTCTGAGCTTGCCAGGGTTTAGGGGTTTAGGATTCTGCGGCTCCTAAATGCTATAAACCTTCACAGTATCTAGTTGAGCACCGGCTCAAGGGGGTCCGCGCTTAGGATGCGGGACCTCAGAAACGCGTGCTGTAAAAGCGTAAGCTGTTTCTGATGTTGTAGTCCCAGACTCACTGTATAATCCCGATATAAACTAATTGCCTCAACTTGATACTGAAATTTTAGGCTTCTACAATGCACAACCCCTATAAACAATATAAACCAGTATCCATTTCCTTTTCCATCTTTTGTTCCATCAGCCTCTTTGTTATCTTAATCCCACATCCTAAACACTACACTAACAATCTGTCAGCATTCCTGCGGATTCTGGCGGATTGATCTTTCGTGGTAAGTGCAAATAAGCGCAGAAGGGCCTGAGCTCTATTAGGACAACTGGGGTTCATGGAGGGAATCTGGGGTTCAGGTTTAGGGTAGCTTCAGTCCCTTAAACCCTGGAACCCCAAACCCTAAACTACGTGGCTGTAATCACAGTACATTAGCGGACCTAGGTGGTGCAGGAGTTCCTGCATCAACAGCAGTAAGTAACGTATGGATGGCTGCGCCATTGCAACAACTATTCCAGGGGTTATGGGCATGTTTTGAGGGTCAGGGAGACTCAGTAAGTAGATTAATCACGTGCGTATCTAAGCCACAGGACAAGCCGAGGTATCCCCATAATAAACGCACTCGCTACGTCCCAATGACATTCCAAGTGCTAATGACTATGCGCTAATGACCTCCGACCCTCGTAGATCATGATGAGAGCCGCATCTTGTAGGCTGTTGCGACAAAAAGGCCAGAGTTTTCTCTCCGCCATCCTTTTTTGCAGGGCCCATTCTTCCAATATGATGATTCTTGAGGGCCATAGCAGAAGATGCCTCAAAAAGACCTAAACATGATATTGATCATATTTACTCCCTGTATTACCTCTTTTTTCAAGACACTGCAAGCAGCGCTAGTCGCGAGCTCACTTGCTGTTTCGACTTTCCACCTTCATTTGACCCTGCGGGTCCAAGTACCTAATAATCATATACTTACCCAAAGCCTGTACTATAATTACTATTACCCAAAGCCCAAGTACCTAACTATTGGGTACATGGACCCTTTGGGAGAGTTTCTAGGCTCAGTCTGAAGGTATTTTGGCTTTGCTGCGGTTCCTGTTTGGCAGAACTAGGTTCTGGTGTAGAACAGTATAGGGAAGAACTGTAGAGCCAAACAAATGCAATTTGAGTAGTCGCCTTAAGCAGGTTTCCGCGAACCTGAATGCCAAATCCTAAGTGCCAAGGCTCGAAACAAACTCAGAAACCCAAACCCCGAACCCTGAGTCTGAAATGCCAGATCACGAAACCCTAAACCTGAAGCCAAGATCCCCAGCGCCAAGACCCACTGCCCTGAACCATAGCGGCTGATACTAAAGAAGCCGGCATGACTCTCACGACCTTACGCCTTGAAAGCTATTGTAGATCCATGATGAATAACCCCCTCCTTGTAAGGCCTGAAAATTAGGAGCCCTGTTATATTCCCTACTGAGGGGAGGGGGTTCATTAATCAGGGGTCTACCAAAGTATTCTAGCATACCAAGGTCATGCAGGGGTTTTTGGCATCAACAAACCTAAGCTCCAAACATCTCCAAACCCTCAACGCTAAATCCTAATGGTAGGTTCCGTAAACAGGGAGGACCCCAATATAGACCCCAACATACTACAATCCTCATTATGGGGGCCCCTAAAAAGGGGTACCCCTAATTTTGGTAAAACCTAAACTCCTAAATCAGAATCCCCTAAACCCTAAAACCTTAAACCCCTAAACCCTAAACCCCTAAACCCTAAAGGTCATGTATCCCTCCCGCATCACTTCGGGAGCTGGCCTACAGCTTGTGAAGCTTGCCCTCAGCAGCTGTCATCTAGGGCTATAATAGGGTTTAGGGCTTAAGGTTTAGGATGCAGGGTTTAGGCTTCAGGATTTAGGGTTGAGGATCTAGGATTCAGGGTTTAGGGCTTAGGGTTTAGGGTTCTATGAGGTGTAGCTTCTTGTAGTGGGCCTACAGTGCATGGAGGGAATCTTGCACCACGTGGTAACCGGTGACTCCCGCAGTATAAGGTCTATTTGGTGGTGCACAAGTTGCTTTATCCACAAATTCTGACGAAAGGGG